AGTAAACATTTTTTTGCGCAACACGTACATATATGGAATTGTATGTATCTCTTTTTACAGGGTTGCTTTTCTGCATACAGATCAATGTTGATAAACGATTTAAAAAAAAATCAACATTGACAGTCATTTTAAATTTCATTTTACTGTCAATGTTGACAGTGTTGAATAATTAAGCTATTTCATTCTTACATATATAAGCAATATACTTCATAGGTTTCTCTTTTTAACCTAAGCATTGACAGTCATTTGAGTGTCATTTTTTCGTCAGCTGTGACATAAGAAATGTGCGTGTATTAGTGAAACGATCAGGAGTTTCTTGTAGGGATGATAACACACATACACACAGATAAATTGCATTGTATAGTTGGAAACAACCCCATGTGGTGTGCCGTACATACACATATATTTAATTAGATAAGTAAGACTTCAAGATATAGTATATAAAGCTTAGAAATTTAAAACTAAAATTAGAATGAAAGATTTCTTACTCAATAAAAGACTTGTTCAATTCCCCCCACCAGTGGTAAGGTTGACAAAGTCTTTATTGACTTCAAACACATATGTAGAATAACAACAAAAAGCGATACAATCGACACTATAGATATCCAGTGGTATATCGTGCTGAGGTAGATAGGCAGATAAAAGATACGTTATCGCAAGAAATAATAGTTCCCGGTAATAGTCCCTACAATTCGCCATTATGGTTTGTACCCAAAAAGGCTGATAAAAACGGAAAACCACAATGGCGTGTAGTTACTGATTATCGCATACTTAATGAGCCGATAATCGATGATCGCAATATGCAGGACATATTTGACAAAGTGGGAAAATGTTGCTATGTTAGCACCATCGATCGGGCGAAGGGATTTCAGCAGATTGAGGTACACCCTAATAGTAGAGCCTAACAGCTTTTTCAACGGCAGATGAACAGTATGAATTTACAAGAATGCCGTTTGGTCTCAGAACAGAGCCTGCAACATTTCAGAGGCTTACTAACTATGTTTTAAGAGAACATACACATAAACAAGATTTCTGTCGAATACTTAGATGATATTTTAATATTCTTTACAAAGTTTGCAGAAGATATTCTTTCCATTAAAACAGTTTTCAATACTTTACGTRCTTCTAATTTAAAGATTCAAAGTTGCTGAATTATCAACAACATCTTTGGGACATGTCCTGTCCACAGAAGGTATAAAGCTGGATCCCTTAAAAATAAAATCTATTGAAAATATGAAACAGTCTACTAGTATTAAAGAAATAAAACAATTCCTACGTATGACAGCATATGTATTACCGCAAATTTATATGGGGCCACGCAAAAGTAGCTTATGAGATTAGTAAAGAAAAATTCTGTTTTAGAGTTTCAAAATAAGGATTTTTTAAACTCTTTTAATAACTTGAAAAAACTTATAACCAGTGAGTCCGTCTTACAACTGCCAGATTTTAATAAAAAATTCATTACTATTGAGAAAGAAGTCTTAGCCATGGTATGGTCTGTGAAACATTAACAAACCTTTAACGTAGTTGCATAATATTAAGGAGCCTAGTATGAAGCTAGAAAGTTGGAAAATTCATCTAAATGAATATGGTTTTGAATTTACGTATATTAAATGAAAGGATAATACTGTTGCTTATACTTTAAGCAGATACTTTGTTTCAAATTTCGTAGATAGAGATATATACAATAATTATGGAAATAGTGAAATTGAAAGTAAGAAAGTAGCAAATCAAAATTCTATGTCATTAGATGCAACTGGACACAGACCGTTAGAAGATAATTTAAAATATGTATATATTTATAACGGAAAGGAGTATCAATATGCTATAAGAATAAAATTCACTTGAATTATGGTCAAGATGAATAAATATATTTAAAAATCGTAAATAGAAAGTATCAAACTCACATAACAGTGACTGATGGAAAAAGTATTTTACAGAAATTCTCATAAACAAAGATGTTATATGTATTTCTTGTCAAAATAATGAACTTTTTGTAAAATTCCCATATTTGTATGTAAATTTCTTTGAAAATAGCAATATCAAATTACATAAATCAAATATTAAATTAATTGAAATTAGTGATAAGAATGAAACATTAACAACCATAGAAAAAGAACATATCCGTAATAATCATAGGGGTATACAAGAAGTTTTCCTTGATTTTAAAAATAAATACTTTTTTCCGAAAATATATAAACTAATATGACTGCTTGGAACGCACTTATGAGAGCTGCCCCCTCCACGATGTCGAAATCGTGCTTGGCGTCTTTACCTCCAGGGTGRGCAAAGAAGGTATATTTGGCATTACGGTTGGTAAATTAGCTAATCGACTTCGCCGGCGCCCAAAATATGGTTCTTTGTACTACTAGATTCCAGCATAACAAGATTCTTAAAGCTACCTGGCTGACTCCGGATCGAAAAACCACCAACCAGATCGATCATGTTGTGATAGACAGAAGACACGTCTAAAGTGTTTTAGATGTGCGTGTGCTCCGAGGTCCTAACATCGACTCGGACCACTATCTTGTTGCAGCCAAGATTCGCAATCGCCTCTGTGCAGCAAAAAACGAACGCCAACAAACACAAGGAAGGTTCGACGTTTGATATTGATATCATCGGCCTCAACACCCGCGCCGTTAGTTCTGCTTTCTCCGGACTGGACAAGGAAGCAAAGCAGATTGGTCTGGCAGTGAACGAGGGCAAGACGAAATATCTCCTGTCATCAAACAAACAGTCGTCACACTCACGACTTGGCTCTCACATCACGGTTGACAGTCATAACTTTGAAGTCGAAGATAATTTCGTCTATCTTGGAACCAGCGTAAACACCACCAACAATGTAAGCGAGTAGGCAATAGAGAAGCAAAGTCTTCAAAAAAAAAAACTCTATAAGTCACTCATAATTCCCGTCTTGCTGTATGGTGCAGTGGCTTAAACGATGACAGCAACTGATGAGTCGACGTTGCGAGTTTTCGTGAGAAAAGTTCTGCGAAAGATTTATAGTCATTTGCGCGTTGGCCATGCCAAATATCGCATTCGATGGACGAAAACACTCCAGCTCCGAAAGTACGCTGTAGCCACCGGGGGCAGCAGAGGAAGGGGAAGACCTCCACTCCGTTGGAGGTGGAGAAGGGCCTGGCTACGCTTAGAATATCCAATTGGCGCCACCTAGCGAAAAGAAGAAACGACTGGCGCGCTGTTGATAACTCGGCTCGAAGAAGATATCCTGGAGCCTTAATACCTCTTATCATCAAAAAAATCATACATTGTGATTTGATGCGTAGCAAATTTAATAATATAAGAATGTGGAACTACTTACATGTATATATTTTATATAAACAGTTTTGAACAATCAAGCACTAATAATTTAAAAGCTATTATAATTTCACTGTATTATCTTCACTATAATATGAATTTAATTTATACTTCAGTCTAACAGAGGACAGTTATGCTAACATCATAAATTGAAAAAGTAGGAATAATGCAGTATTTTATTGAAATTATCTATTGATATGATAGCTTACATCTCAATTAATAATCGCAATAATATTTTACTATAAATTCTTTGTCTATTATTTGACAGTGACAATTACCCGTTAGTTCCAAAATATTCTAACAGATGACGGTAACTGTTGGCTGGATTAAGTAAGTAAGCAAATAATTTGCAATAATATAATATTGCGATTATAAATAGAGATGTAAGCTATTCTGTCTTTCAATTCGGATCGAATTGCAGACGGTGTGCAATCAAAATTTAAAATCGGTTCAGTAATTTAGGCGTCCATCGCGGAAAAACAACGCGACACATGATTTTTATATATGTATAAAGATATGTATATTACTAGTAAATATTTTCTAAAATTCGTTGCATAGATTTAAATAATACTAATAACTGAATTAATATCTACTTTGCAGAAAGTTCAACGTTTCAACGTAGCCAACGGCAATACTATGGTCATCATATAGAGGAAGATTTTGTTGAACCTCCGAGCGAACAAATCAGATATGAAAGACAAGAGCGTGAAGTGAAACGATTACAGCATATTGATAGAGATATTTTGCATTACAGAAAGGAAAAAATTAATTTCTTAGAACCAGAAGAATCTTCGTACATAGTTGATCATAATGTTTCACCAAAAATGTATTCTTCTACTAATACACGTCCCCTTCGTGGACGTTTTTCAGAATCGGATGGCACATTACCAACAGTAATGAATGACAATGTGGTGATCGACCGCGATGAGTTTGGTACTAATAGAATTGTTACTAGCGGCCGAAGAGCCTTAAATGCTATATAGGAATCATGGATATAAGGTTGTCGACAAGCCTAATAAGTTTTAATATCTAAGTTTATGTCTAAAATATTGTTCTGTCGCATGTGTCACTACATTTTCAACGGTAAAAAAGTATTAATTGAAATAATTCAAACACCTATATGACTGCAAAATATAGTGTTGAAGTAAAACGTGCTCCAAAATCGATTTTCATTGTTTTTTTTCATGTTTAATAATTTTATGAACTTGCAACAGGGTGCTACAGAGTATAATAGTTTTGTTCACTTAACGGTTGTTTGTATATATCACCTAAACAAGATCGACTTAGATATGAAGTTATATTTATGAATGATCAGGATGAAGAGGTGAGTTGAGTTTTAAGTGACTGTCTGTGTTTCGTTGTCCGTTGTCAGCTTTTAATTTGAGTAAATCGTGCTTCTTTGCAAAAAAGTAAGTTCGAATATTCGTAATCAGACCACTGCCAGACCTAAAGATGTAAGTTCGAATATTCGTAATCGGACCACTGCCACACCTAAAAAACTCCATTAATAGAAACCTATAACATGGCATAATTAAGTATTTAAGTAAGATTTGATTTTGAAAAAAATTCTAACAGGCTTAATGTATGTACATATAATATAAACCAGTAATGCTACAATAACCAAATTCCCTTAGAACACATCTTATAAAAGTCCCTACATACAGTGTGAACCTCGAACCATAATCTCGCCCACTCTCCATATAACGATTTTGTTACAAAAATACAAAAGTGCGATGTATTAATAACCAATCGCCAGGATAATACAGGACAGCTTCATCATAACCATACGTATTAAATTTGACGATGAGCATTACACCGCCCACATATACATATGTGATATAAATTATCTCCGAACCTTCCCACATTTAAACCAAATTCGGTAAATAACAATATAAATGGCATTAACCGAGAGCCGCTCCTATGACACGTTTAAGCTTCTTAGTGAGTGTAGCTTTTTGAGTCTCCCGCACCAGACGAATACACTATAGAACATTATTACATTTACAACGGTTTCGTAGAGCCAAAGCACCAGTTCTACATTTCTCCTATAGCCATTTATGCAATAGTACATAGATGCCTTCCTCACTCTTTTTCCTCTATTAAAGCCTATCCAAACTCTTACATTACTTGAGTTGACAGCTATACACTGTCAACCGACAGCCTTGTTCTTCGAGTTTTTAATAGGTTATTAATCACCAATATTCAAAGCAGTATGGAAATTAGCCAACCCTGAGGGGTGTCTCCGTTAGCTTTTAGGATCGCTGTGCACTGCTTTCATCTGCTACGACCTTTGTGTCGCAGAGAAAACTATATTAGCTGCTAGAGGTTCGATTCTATCTCAAACTTTTCGAAGGTTCAAATCATCGCCTACAGCAGCACATTGCGAAGACCCTTGATATCGGAAAAGATGCACGTGCAAAGCAGTGTCGATGTCGACCTACCTTCCTCAAAAGCAGCAGCTATGATAAGCTAATGGGCTTGAAATCCTTGCACCGACGTGAAAGCTCTTTCTTTCCTTTGCTGTAAGCGCCACTTTAACCTCTTTTAATGTAACACAGTTCACCGTCCCAGTTGAAAGCTTTGAATGAATTCAGCTCCAAAATAAGGTGACGTCCATCCAGAAGGCGGGCTGCCCAGTAATGGAAAGTGAGCTTCGAATGACTCTGAATTCTCATGGTCTATCCCCTGCGGAAATTTTTCGTAAGAGTACAACGTTAGGAACCAAGACCCACTATACATCAGCAGAAGGCTCTCCAAGTCATACCTTGTACTGCACCCATTAGTCTCTGGAGCCACCTCCACGGGCTTTATTGAAAAGTCTTCTACACGAAAATGTGATCTTCGTTAGCTCCGATGGGTTTGAAGTTTTTACTCTTACCACACCAACTAATTGAGAGCGTTCTCCGAGTCGGAGCATAGCTGGATCTAGTACTGGGCCACATAGAGATTATCTGGAAGAAATAAATGTCTAAAAAGGAAATAGTTTTTCAAAAACATACAGTGATTCAAAGGTTTTTAAAGTAATTTCAATATTGCAAATTTAATTGAGTTGGAGCATATATTAGCATTTAAATTAACTACAATGTTAAGGCAGAAATTAAACAAATCATTTCGCATCAAAACTGTGGAGAGTGTACATGACCTCAATGCTGCGCAGTTATTTAGAGTTTTAGAATAGGGTAATTCAGTACTTAGTTCGGAATTGGAAATCATGAAAAAAAGCCAAAATAATTATTAGCAAGGATACATTTTATTTAATGCAATTACGAAAACTCAGGAAAGACCTGAAGTCAGTTGTGACATTTTATTTAGTATTTTTATACACTCGAAGAAAATTCGCATAGGGCAAAGCATAAAAAAATTTGTTGTGAGGAAAAAGACAATTTGCTGCTAGAATATTTGCTAGAAATTGTGCAAACTGAGGTAGTTCTTTACACAATAAGCTTTAACTATACTCTTAGAAACCAAACACTCAGATGTACTACCAAAAATTAATTGAAAGAAGCAGATGTATAACAAATGATGAGGAGTTTCCTAAATCGACAGGCGCTGGAATAGACGTTGATGATAAAATTTCCACGATAAAAGGTAGCTGCGGCCTTAATGTTAAGTGAAAATTTCAGTTTTTTTTCTTTAATTTCACGTTCATTCAGCAAAACTTTCACAGATGTGCCCAAATTATGAACCATTTTTGGTTCTATTTGGCAGTAAATCCAAACTCAGTTATGTTATAGAGACGTACATCCTTGATGTGTCACAATACTGCAGCGATTTTGCAGACATTGTAGAGGTAGTGGAAATTGCATCCGAATCATCACAATCATCCGCGAAACCACTTAACGGGAAAGCAAAACAGACAATAGTAGGAGCAGAAGTAGCAAGAATTACTCCTACCCCTCCGTCATTTTTAGAAAAAATTAAAAAGCGTACTTCAAAGAATGTTCTTAGTGAACTTAGAGACATGTGTTTGGAAACAAAAGGTGATGTAATGATTGTGTTTTTTAATTCAAAGCTATTTGAGATCGTTTCTTCCGTTGTACTCTCGTTGAAATTCTTATTTTCACTGCTATCAAGCAATATATTGTGAGGATTACAACGTACTAGTATCCATTCGTTACAGTATTATCGCCCTTTGAGTAAGCCGAAACAGTGTTCAATTCTTACACGGTTTTGCCATGCTCCTTCTTGAATTTATTTCTTTTAGGTAGTTCAAATTGTTGATAGTTGCCTCAGTAAGGTGTTAAAATAACGTTACTGAGGAGGTGAACAGAGGCTCCAGCAATTCATTCCTTTCCTGAAAAGAATCTTGGCTGATATTTGTTCAATAAACAGTTTTTAAACATTTTTGCACCGTCAGTAGAGCCACTGCAGCCAACGCCAACATCGCGAATTTTGAGCTTGTAATCGCAAACGAAAGTAAGGCTTCATGACAGTTTTTTTTTTTTTTTTGAGGATTTGGCGAATTTTAATTTAGTGCCATCCACGTAACTCAGTATTATGTGGCCAATATATACTTATATATGAATGGAGTTGTTTTAAAAATGCCTTGAATATTGGTTAACGTTCCTCCGTCACCAATCCCAAAAGTAGACGTAATTTTTCGTATCGATGCACTTTCTCCAGAAGAGCCCAATCTCATCATCCATTATTGTTAAACTATCATCGCACTAATGAATTTTCTTTGGAACAATATTTTCTACACCTCCACGACAGTTTAGAGTAATGAGCAAATCATCATACACCTCGTCAAGGGTATTCTCTACCAAATCTTAATCTTCACGGCTTTTGTTTCTGGCGTCGTGTCGACGTCCCATTCTGTGGCCGCCAAATTTGGGATGATGATGTGGCTGTTGGTCGACGGGACCGTGCATTCCGGTTTATTAGTGGTCGCCGTACTGCGCCCCGGATGCAGCCGGCGGTTTTGTAGTGAAACAGGATAGACACTAGCCTATGGTGAAGATAGGAGACTTTAGCATGGACGTCTTTATCAGAAAAGGGCCATCGTTCAGGTGGAAGTGTTGCCATAATCTTCCATCGCATTTTCCGCTTATGCATAGTGCAGATTTTTCATATGAAAATGTACTTCTCTATTTGGGACTTAAGTCGTGATATGTACAACTCTTGGCGGGCCATATGTTGTATGCATCGCCTCATAAATAAGGTGGAAAATGGACAACTCTCTGTTATTATTATAGTGTGGCGTTCATTATATGTTAGGCTTGAAATAAAAAGCCGATTCTATTTATGATATTAAGTCTTCTCCCAAATTGGATTTGGATGGCCTTCCGCCTGTACTTATAAAAAATTGTACTTCCTTGGTATATTTACTCATGCTTATCTTCAATAAGTCTTTCTCCTCTGGGAATTTTTTTTCGGACTGGAAATTGGCATGCATTAGCCCTATTCTTAAAGGTTGTAGGAAGGATCTAGTCTCGAACTACAGGTATATCTCTAAACTTTCTACTATCTCGAAAGTTTTTGAGTGTTCTGTTAAAAATACATTTTTTTTGCAGTAAAATCAATAATTGATGTCAATCACCATGGGTTTGGTTCTGGGTGCTCCACTGTATCAAACTTAGCGGCTTTTAGCGATTATTGTATGTCTGCATTCTCCGCTGGATTTCAGGTACATTGTGTCTACACAGATTTCTAAAGCCTTTGATAAAGTTTCACACAATATTCTAATTAAAAAATTATCATATTTAGGATTCACTCTGTTCTCTTGCAGTGGATTAAATCATATCTGCACAATAGACGATGAGTTGTCAGTGTCGATGGAGTGCCATCTGATACATTCATTGCGTCTTCAGGAGWACCACAAGGAAGCGTCTTGGGTCCACTTCTCTTTGTGCTGTTTATCAATGATATTTCCTGTTGCTTCTCTTTCGCTAACTTTCTGTTATATGATGACTTAAAAACGTTTACAATAATCAAAACCCCACAAGGTGTATTCAAACTTCAAAGTGATATTGATACTTTTTATGATTGAAGCTTTTTCTGAATCTAGATAAATGCTCTCAGATCTCTTATGATAGGGGACGTAACATCTTATCGACAAGTTACAATATTTCTATTTGCGTCCTAAAATGCGTTACTGAAGATCTTTGGATAATCTTTGACAACAGATTTTCTTTCAGTAATCCATCAACTATATCACTTTTAAATT